ATTTAATTTGTTATTTTTAATTTTAGAATATTTTTACTGTTTTATACAGAATGATTCATTTATAATGAACTATATAATTAATCGAAAAACAAATATAATTAAGATATTTTATTTGGTTTCATTTAGGTATATATTTTTCAATTTAACAATCATGAAGTATTTTTAATGCTTATTCCTTATATCTTATAATATACTTTATTTTTTCAGATTACAATGTGTATGATTAATTATCTTATTAAATTGATAATTACCTAATTTAGAAAATGACTACTCGATAGTAATTTTTGAACAAGTATTTCGAAGTTATTAACATTTTATAATGGTGCCTGAATATGTGACACGATTTTTGTTATTTTTACATAAGTTATTTCTCGCCATACGGCCCAGGTATAAAAATGTTGAAATCCTCTAAAATACTGGTTCAAAAATTGTTATCGGTCAGTCATTTTTTTAATTTAATCATTTTCTATTAAAAAATCTAGTTGATTATGTTTATTGACATTTGAAAAAATAACGTTGACACTCTTATAAGATATAAGGCATGAATATAAAAAATGCTTTATAGTTGATTAATTGAGAAATGCATGTGTTTTTATTATGATAAATGAACCAGTCTGTATATGTAAATATAAACTTATATTAGTGTATCTTTAATCTTAATATTAATCCAATTTTATTTTAATGGACTTTTGTTTATTATGTTTGAGAATTTGAATAGTCTGATGTGTAATGCGTGTAAATGTGATTAAGTTTGTTAGTTGTAATTTGCAAACACTTAAGGCTACTCTTATTAAGTTTCAAATTGTATAATCATGATTGTTAAAATAAATTTAATCTAATTTCAACATTTTTTTTAAGTTTATACAAATATTAAGAATACTTCTTTTAAATTTTGATTATTATTATAATAACAAATGTTAACTGATAAGTTAACAACAATGAACTTTATATTGTTTGTTTGTATAATATCATTCTTCTTGTCAAGCCAATGAAGAAGTCGATATAGATGAAAATATTATTAGTATGTACAATAATACAATATGTTTGCAATAACAAAGTTATTACAAACATACAGCAATAGGAAGCAAAGCAAGATGTTCAATAACTTTAAGTATAAAAAGTAAGTTTCGATGAAGAAAAACTTTTGTGCTGTAGACATCAATTTAAATGATAAAGTTATGACGTAAGACATTTTGTCATTACATCATCAATATTATTTAAAAAAAATATTTTATCTTAAAAGATAATTTATGATAAACTTCCATTCATATATAATTTGAAGTACATTTTATAATATTGATATAGTAAATATTGTATATTTTTCATAGATCGTTAGCAGTTCCGTTCTTTTTTCTATTGAAATGAACAATTTCCCTGGTAATTGTCTTATTGATTTTGGTCTTTCTTTTGTAATAACTTTTATTTTAATAGGAAGATACAGCTGCGTCAATAATTAATGAAATTATTAAATTTCAATTAAAAGGAGCTACAAGTAAATATTACAAAAATTTTAGTAATTTTAGCAACCTTAAAAAAATATTGATTTTATTTATTTATTATTTTTAGTTAGCCTTGCCTTACAATGAATACCTGAGTTTTAAATATTAAGTAAAGAGATACATTTTTGTTATTTTTTAATGAATAAACTTAGAGAAAAAATTATAACATTGATATTTGTCTGAAAACAATAAATAAAATACAACCTAAAGTTTTTGACCCCAAAATTTGTCTCTTTAAAAAAAATAAAATTGAAATCTCATTAGACAATCTATAAAAAAAAATCTAAACATAATTAATAATTTTTAGAACTTATGGTTAAAAATAATATTTAAATTAATAATGATTATATAATAATTATTGGTATTGTAAAAAAATTCTCATTACATATGATCCATATGTAATTAAACTGATTTATGTTTTAGTTTATTGTAAACATGTATTGAAACATATATATTTCAAAACATTGCAAACAGTAACATATTCTATTTAAATTCAATTAACATTATCAACATGTTGTTCCTAAGAAATATAGTAGTCAATGATAAATGAATTGCCATGTATTGAATAAATATTTAATCTTAAAAATGTATTTATTAACGTACATAAAAACATTGTATTTTTTCATATATTCTACATATTTCATTGAAGAAATAAGAAATAAATAAATACTATTTTTGCTTTTATAATGGTGTTTATTTTGTATGCATACAAGATTAAAAAGAATGTGATGTATTAGTTTATTGAAGAAGATTCCAATGGAAAAAATAAATATATTCTTCCGTATAATTTTTTATATGAAATCTAACTTTTTTTATTCATCATAAAAGAATAACTGTAAAATATTTTATGACTGGAGTTATTTTAAAAAAATCTGTAAAATACAATCCGAACATGAGGAGGAACTAATTTTATTATAATAGATTTTTTTTTGGAAAATTTTAATTGAAATTCCTTTTGTTTGTACGTTGTGCATCTGTATATGTCATATCCAGACATTTATTCATATATATAGGGTGTAATTTACCACATCAGATAGATAGGTAAAAGTCAGTGAAGTATTATAATTGAGAATTTCTTTTTCTTTTATTGTCTTAGAAGAAAATTATGATTTTTTTTTATAACTACGACTTTGTTAATAAGTATTAAATATAAAAAAAAAAGTAGTTTTTTAACCTACTTATTTAGTTAATTTGGTTAAGTACACCACTTCTATTTTCTGTATAATTGCATGGTTTTCTTTTTGTTAAAGAAGCATTGTATTTCTTATTTCACGTCTATCCTTTTTTGTAGTTATATATAGTAACAAATAAATCAGTTACGCCTGTTTTTTCATCATGAAAATGGTGACAGTTCAGTAGGCAGCCATATATTTTTTATATTATTAACAACTCTAATTTATTGTCAGTTAGTTTATAATTGTTTGCGTTATAATTGTACACTTTACATTAAAATATTAAACCTTAATTAAAAAATTGCTACAATTGTTATAATATATCGCAATAATAATAACGCAATGAAAGTATTCAAAATATGTTTACATGTATTTTAATTTTTCTCAAAATTTAAGATTTTAAAGATTAAACTTGTTTCGATTTAATTAATAGATAAAGTAATTTCCTATAAAAAAAGGTTGTTAAAAGTCGCATAGAAAATTATTTTTTCTCGTCGTGAAAATAAAAACCTAACACTGTAGGGATGTTGTATAATTGGTAAAAGTATAAATGACCTCTGACAGTGATTAGCATCACTATAATAAAAATCAAATGTGTTAAATTTTTGAACTATGATAACCTATGATGGACTTCTGTTATCAATATTTTTGTGATCTAAAGCTGACATCAAATTGGGGTATTAATATTTTTTTGGATTGTTTGTTTTTTATGCTTCAACTTTATGGCTTGAAAAACCGCGTAGTCGTTGTTTTTACTTTCACTATCTTTTATGGTAATATCAATTAGTTGAACTTGTGAATCATATTCTAGTTTTTTTCTTTTTGTTTTTTTAAATTAAATGAATCTTTTTGTTCAATACATTTTTTTTTAATAAAGTAAGATATTTTAAACCCATGTGCCATGATCTTCTATTTTCACGTTGAGCTAATAAAAATAACTTACATTTTTTAATGTGTAATAAATCTAAATCGTTGATGTGAGTAATATCAAATATGTCGTCTAGAGCGTCACAAAATTTATTTTCTTTTCGAATTTTAATGTCTGTACGTCGTATTTTTCTTTAACTTCACCTATTTTTCGTATAAATGTTTAATTTTTATAGTTACGTGATACTATTGTTCAATTGATATATTAGTTTTTGTCCAAAACGTAATAACTCCTCGTGCAACCTTCTCAGTAATGAATTGTTTTTTTATTATCTATGTGCGCGTCAAAAAATTTATTTAAAACTTGGCGACTTGAAGGAAGTTTATTTCTTGTAATAAATTCTGTCAAAGCCGCCTAATCAAATTCCTCGACTTGTTGGTGTTTTTTATATATAACAATGATTGTTAAAGATAATTAATCATAAAATTAATAAAATAAAAGTTCTTCCATTAGATTTAATAAGAATTTTGTCATTGTGATAATAAAAGTTTAAATGAATAAAAATCATTTTATAATAACAATATACTATAGTTAATAATTTGTTATTAGAAACCTAATCATTTAATACTATTTAGTATAAGTTTACTTGTGTAAGCATATGGTTCTATACGATAACTCAGAATACAGTAGATGCAGATAAAACATCGTACACTGTCTTCTATTAAAATTTGTCAATGTGTACAACGACTACAATCGAATATCAGATAAAACGTTTCATCAAAATAGCATTATGTCTACTTGAACTTTAATAGCCATTAGCGACCTTTAAATGTTGGCTGATTTTTATCGAAATGTACTTACAATGTTTTTATAAATATAGCGAACCAAATAACAGGTTGAAAAAAAAAGAAAAAGTAATAAAAAATTTTTGTCCACTACATTTGGTTGTCACCCTACTCGTGTAAGAAAATAGTATCAGTGTAGTATTTGAAACACGATTAAAGATAATTAACATTAACCCTTCAGATGCTGACAGTAATTGAATACATTGTTAAATTGAGCTTAGACAATTTGAATTAGTATTTTTTGTCTTGACTGACTCTAGCAGACTACCGCGTGTAATATATTTAACAAAATAATAATTTTTTTTACTTTTCCAGCTAAATAAAGTTGAACATGGTTAATGCTGCGACATAGAAACCCTCCGAATCTCACTCGGTGACATAAGAAAAAACGCCCAAAAACGGTGGACTAATTTTTCGTGATACCAATTGTAATGGAACTCGACAACTAACATATCACTTTTGATAGGGTTTTTGGAAATCAATTATAAAGTAGCTTTGGGAATTTCGAATCGTTAGTAGATGGCGGCTGGAGCTGTCTCCGGTGATTGTCCACGAGGGCCGAGTGAGATCTGACGTGAAAGGTTAACCGGCGTAACGGTTGCTACCGAGACGTTTTAGAAGCGCGTACGGTCGACGGCGAGCGGTAGTCGTATCTCGTACGCCGCAAACGCCAGTCCGAGCTCACTGACTTGGTGCCGTCCGTTAGTAGACAGCCCTGTCGTTTACGCGTAATTCCTGTACGGACGTCCGTTAGTAGACAGCCCTGTCGTTTACGCGTAGTTGCTGCACGGACGTCCGTCAACTTGGAGCCGCGTGTGTTGGGTGCGGTACCGTTCGCCGCATGGCCTTCACCGCGACCACCTAGTCACACGTGGACGATACCAGATGGATATTGCGAACAAAATATTATGTAGATTAAGAAATGACCAATAAATAGTAAAAGTCGAGGTATGTTAAACATTTTGATAAATTCATACATGTGTTGAGTGCTTGTTTAAGTGCTTGTCATTTGACTAATGCAATTGTAGATTTTAAATGTTCAGCCGGCCTACCTAGTTCAATATCGCGTGCGAAGGTACCAGTTGAATCAATCCTGTTATGTTGAGCTCTGTAGGTTTTGCCGCCCTTGTGTCGTAAACATTAGCGTTTAGATAGGACGTTCAACAAAAAAAATAATAATAATAATAAAACGTTGTAATAAAAATTAAACGTTTCAAAAAAATGCGTGATCATATTATATCATTCAATTTATAATTATTTATGAAAACATAAATATTTTAATACTTAACACTTTGTAGGAGCTCTTGAAATAAACAATGGGGGTACCCATAATTAAAATAATTACGCTTAGCGCCGAAGTAATTATAAATCAGCGTGACTTTTGGATTAACAAATTACTCAGCATAAATGACTTGAAGGGTCCTTTTAATCTTCAATAGTCTCTTTGTAATTTGAATACTTGATTACAGAGTACATCAACAATTGAATTGATATAAAAATAATAATTTTTGTATTTTGATCATACAAATATCGAGAAAACACACATAGACTGCAATATAACATTTGTAAAGTGTATTTGTAAAGTAACAAAATTGTAACGCATATAATTTCTTCTTAAACTATATTTTAAGTGCAGGTCATAAGGATTACCATAATGATATATATATATTCTTTAATTACATTAATCCAAACTTATTAAACGTGTTCTCAACGTCGATACTGTCTACTGGCATGTTTAATTTCACATACTTAAGTAATTTCTTTACTTTCAAAACTACATTTGTATTAAAATTAATGTTATAGTGGTGTAACCTACTGCTGAATTTCTATATTAATAATTGTTTCCTAGTTCTGTTTCCATGTTTTGAACTATTTATTGCTGCGCGTTCTTCTCCAACTAGTACTCTTTGTTTCTATCACTTGTTCGAATTCCCAGTGAATTTCTTTACAATTAGTTGATCTGTCAAAACCATTTACAACATTTTTGTCGACATCTTATGTTGGTGATAAATAGTGTAAAAACGTTACATTAATTCACATTCCCAACAATAGCATAAAAGGTTTCCCCACTTTCATCCACTAAATGAATTTCCAACAAAATTAGTGTTCTTAAAATTACTTTAAGATAACATTAAAAAACATTGACAACATATTGTGTCATTTTGATGTTCAAAGATTGAACCATAAAGAATTGTACATCATATTCAATTATAATGTAAAAATAATCAATAACTGTACTTAGTTTGCACCCATCGCGTATAATTTGAATATCTCTAGACGGCTAGTTGTTATAGTTGAAATCAGTTTTTACTGTTGATACAGTTTAGTTTATACGTTCAATATTTTAGAAATCTGAAAATAAATCGTTTTTATTATTTAATTAATTTAAATAAAGAAATGTTCGAAATTTTATTTTAATTTTGGAAAAATTTATAGTACTCTATCATTTTTTAATTCTATTTCAATCAAGATAACTAAATCTATATGCAAAGTCTCTCAGAAATAACTAATAATGCTTATAACTTAACTTTTTATTTAATAACCAGTTTGTTAAATTTTTTTTTTTTATAATTATCACCTCCTTGGACTATGTTCAAAGCATATATTTATAATTTGTTACTTGTAAAAAAATTTTTTTTTATTTATAAGTTTCGAAATAGTCATTTTCGAGTTTTTTTCTTACAAAATAATTTGATGGGTTGAAAATAATTTTAAAGCAAATACTTATCAAATTACAAGCATTTTAATACAGAGAGGAAGTGGAACACGGCCCAAGTAACGTACACCAGTACGAGTTTCACCCATCAGCGCTACTATCAAATCTACCTATTAAAATACTTGTAACTCAATGAGTATTTGTCCCAAAATTATATATAGTTTTTAAAAAAAGGCTAAAAATGTTCAAAAAAATATTTAAATTAATTATTAGTAATAAATAATAAAAAATATTATCTGAACGTAATCTAAGAAGGCGATAATTATTAAAAAAAAATTAAAAAATAAAATTATATCTGTTAGATTTGAGATACTCTGTATAATTAATAGTGTAATAACTTTTAATGGATTAAAATTGAGCGATTTCATAATTACTCATACATCAAAAATCATATTATTGATTATAACCTATACTTTATCCATAAATAAAAATTATTTTAATGAAATGTATGGTTGATGAATTTGTATTTAAATCAAATAACGTTTATTAATAAATAATATTTTTTCTATATTATTTTCTTTAGTTGACCTTAATTTTTATTTATTCGCTATAGTATTTTTTCTCTTATTGTCATATAAACAGTACTTATAGTTACATTGACGTATTCAGAATTTTTTCATAAGGGCCTAATGACCTTTTGTTACCTTTCTCTTTGACTACGCTACTGTATAGTAATAATCATCAATAATCAAACACTTAATTCCAATATCATTACAAAACTTGAGTAAAATTTACTGATCATACTCAATTATAGGTATTCAAGTTCAGAAAAATGTATTGTAATATATCAAAAAGAGGTGGGTGAATAATGAAATAAAAGGGTAGGGTACGGTTTAATTCACTACAATAGAATAATAAGTTAAATAATATATTACCCCTTCTATCGGAGCGTATGATTTTGGTTCAGAGTAAAGAAATAGAGAATAAAATAAAGTACATATTTGTACCTCTATAAACAAATTAAAATCTTTTAAAATGGCAGTGAATATCAAGAATGATGTCAACTTTAATGAACATGGTTTGACTCAAAATATTGAGTCTTCTAATTAAAATTATTATTATTATTTTTAAATGTAATTTAGTACACTTAGGAAAATTAAATAAATATTTACACAAACATTATATCTAAATTAATTCATTGAAACAAGTGCAATAAGAGCAGAATATTCGGTATTTTGAAGACTACATTGTGGATCGAAGCTCACTAGGTACTGAGCCTACTACTAACATCTTATTTGACAAAAAAATGATAAAAGAGAATTTATTTTACTTGACATATTTTATTATCTCCGTTTCTTATTAAACACATCGTTAGCAGTACAATTTGTGTTTATTTATTCATCAATGTTATAGATAGTACATAGTATCATATGTAAAAATAATGTGCTTGTATATAAATATGTTTCTATACAGTTATTAAATTAATTTAAAAAAAGATCGAGTAATAATACAATTTAATACGGCGATACAACACCATTCAATGTTTGATAGACTTTTTTTTATTAAATATGAATTTTCATCAAATATTCTCAAACTACTAATGAGATATGAACATAATAATATCAAGGAATGTAAATCATTAATTAAAATAAATTTTTATGTAAAACGTTCTTCAAAACGTTATTATCAGGGTTTATTCGTTTTTATAATTATTTAGTCGTGATAATTTTTTTTTGTTATTATTTATTCAAATTTGCTTTAAAAAGTTTTTAGTAACAAAAAGCTAATACCTCCAACCTCCGTAATTATTTTCTAGTTATCCCACTGTACGATGTACTATCGACTGAGCTATACAAATTGAAAATTTTAATATAATTTTTAAATACATATGATAGTTTAGTTCCATAATAAATAATAAATATAATATAAATTTAATATATTTAATTTATAATATAAAAAATATAATAAATAATTATACTAATCATTTTTTATTTATTAAAGTCTATTATTTTTTACTAAAAATCTCGATATATTTTATACTGATCTAATAAAACTGACAGTAATAATCAAGACTGTAATAAAGCACTAAACAAAATATTATATTCCTCATCAGTGTCAACTAATATATATATTGCGTATCACGTCAAATTATTAGANACTAATATATATATTGCTAATCACGTCAAATTATTAGACTATAATAACTTTTACTATATTAGTATAACATTACGAAGTGATTGTATATTGATCATATATTATTATCGCATAGTAATATTGTTAATTTTAGATTAATATGTAATTTTTATCAAAACTAAGTTTGGATTTCATATAACCATGTTTAAAATGATTAATCGCCAGAGCAATTGAGTAGTTCCATTAAGTATATCTATATATTATAAATTGTTCCATAAAGTATTAGTAAAAACATACACTATCTTTTACGGTAAAATGATACTAGTTTAAATTTATAATTGAAGGTTTAATGATAGAAAATGNTTCCATAAAGTATTTAGTAAAAACATACACTATCTTTTACGGTAAAATTATACTAGTTTAAATTTATAACTGAAGGTTTAATGATAGAAAATGTTTTAAAAAACCAATGCACACATGTAGTAATATTGCATAAGTGTTGCCCCGTGGAATCATATAGGTGTAATACTAATGTTTAACTATTGTAATATTCTTCCGTTTTATATATAAAAAAATAACAAATTTTTAAAGTTAATAATGAAGTATATTTTGAATGTTTCAATCAATATTAAAACAGATGGGTACAGCTCATACAGGTGTATAGTTATAACGCATACTACACTCATGTTACATATCCACTATATTAAAATGCTTGTAATTCAATAATTACCTGCCCTAAAATTGTTATTGACCCATTAATGATTTTTTGTAAGAAAAGTAATAAAAATTAATTTTTATAAACTTTGAAAAAAATTGTTCTGTTAAATTTGCAGAATAATCTGAAAGGCATTTAAAAATAATATTTAATATTTTTAAAATCCCTTTAGGACACCAATTATTTAATGTCATAAAATAACAAATAAAAAACGTAAGAGTACATAATTTTTAATGTATGTGGAATAAACAATTTTAAAAATTTATCAATANGTATGTGGAATAAACAATTTTAAAAATTTATCAATACTCGTCATTATCATATACGATTAATAAATTTGTAAAGATACAACACTATTTAGTATTTTTACAGGTACCATAATGAACGGATTACTAATATTTGAATACTGACTTGATTCTAACATAAAACAAAAATATACAATTT